AGTGGTCCCAAGAAGTGAGAGTGGGCCCAAGAAGTGAGAGTGTGCGAGAAAAACACAAGGGTGTAAAAACAGCTGAGCGCCAAAAGCCTTAATACCCTTAACTGGATAAGATATCTCAGCAGCTAAACTGTCATATAAAGAAGCCCAAACCAATCATCGTTCCTGTCAATGGTTGTACAGTCTTCCAGGGCTGCTTCGGGCTCTCAGCAGGCGACCAAAGTTTCCGAGAGATGGAGGGTGTGTTCGTATGTCCGTCACAGAGATGGAAGTGAATCATTAAAAAGAACAGTAACATTTGAGTTAGAATAATTGCATTTGTGACTTCTTTCAACAACCATTGTGAAACGTTTTCCAGTTCCACAACCTAGTATACTCATCTCCTTTGCTGCTTTCCCAATATTTGTTCATCTCTTATCCAGGATTCCTCCTTTTTTGCCGTTTGGAGCTGTAGTTCCCAAGGGTGCCCTTACCCTGTAGTTCAGTGTAGTTCAGTTCAGTTCCCAAGGGTACCCCTTACCCTGTCTTCCTCCTTTCTTGAATGTAAGTACCACAATTGCAGCTGTCCCAATGTCAAGAAGTTCCTCATTTATAGTGAGGAGTTGAAGACTATAGCTAGGGGTACACACAATGCTGCAACTGCCTCTTTTAGTATCCATAGTGAGATCAGGGCCTGTATGCTTATATATATAATGTGTGTGTGTGTGAGAGAGAGAGAGAGAGAGAGAGAGAGAGAGAGAGAGAGAGAGAGAGAGAGAGAGAGAGAGAGAGAGAGAGAGAGAGAGAGAGAGATACACTAACAACAATCTAACCACCACTTAACTACGGGAGGAAGGGTAGACTGCGACAAGTCACCACCCACGAGCCCAAAACCCAGACAGGCCACAAAGAGTAACAAATGAGACAAAAAACTCGACAGCCAGCTAGGCGAGACTCTAACATTCCTCGTCTCCACTCCCTGATGGACTGTGTACAAGAAGGATGTTCCTGCGGCTCTTCGAGCTTGCGGCAACGGGAGCCAGCCGCAGGCGACGCTGGCGGTAGGGGGAAAGAGTGTATATATATATAGACTCACTGCGGCGTTGGGTCAACACCCAATATCAACCCATCAACCCATACACCAGATGAGCCAACACCTCCCATCTCTCACCCATTACCACATGGACCTCATGAGTTAACACCACAGCCTCACCACTCATCACCACCACTCACCAGCTGAGTCAACACCACACATCACCACGGGAACTTGCCAACAAATTGACACTAACGGCCCAAGTTCACAATTTCTTCATAATGACCGCGAGGGAGAATGTGGAAGGGGAGGTAAGAGGGGGGCGTTGGGAAAGAAAACGGAAGAGCGCTGGCGGGAAGGGGGGGGGGGCAGTGTGAGGGGAAGAAAGGGAAAGGGGAAGCACAAGGGTAAGGGAAGTAGAAGGATTGGAGAAGGGTAAGGGGAAACAGGATTCTAATATTTGGGGATATCAATCACAGCGAAATAGACTGGATAAGTTAAGACCGCCCTCGGGGGATGATGAAACATGGAGAGAAAAACTTGTAGATGCAGCCCTACAAAATAGGCCTGAAGAATGTTACAGGAAGACTTTTACAAACTCCAGGAGTGGGCAAACAAATGGTTGCTAGAGTTGAATCCTAATAAATGTAAGGCAATAAAGATGGGGAAAAGGAGCAAGAAGACTAAAAGGTGTCTGCCATAAGTGTAAAGCAACTTCAAGAATCGGAGAGAAAAATATATTTGAAAGTGGATATAATTCCAACACCAGAGTCCCACATAGACAGGGTAACATCAGCAGCATATGGGACGCTGACAACATTAGAACGTCGTTTAGAAACTAAATCAAGACGCCTTGAAGGCACTCTAGATAGCTTTTGATAGTCCAATACCGGAATCCAAACCTTGTGAAGCATACAAGTAGAACTGCAACTAGGTCAGTGCCAGAGCTAAGCGAGATAAGCTATGAAGATAGGCTGAAGGAACTGGAACAGAAAAAAAGATAGACTATATATAAACTGGGAGGACAGAAAAAATAGAGGAGATATGATACCAACGTACAAGATACTGATGGGGAAGTAGAGAAGGTGGGCAAGGTCTCTCTCTTTTAAGTTGAGAGAAATAGGACAAAAGGACACAAGTGGAAACTGGAAACATAAACGAGAGGGAAGAAATGTAAGGAAATACTCTTCTCTCTGTTCGGGTGGTCAACAAGTGGAATACTTTATGAGAAGATGTGGAAGCCACCTCCATCCACATCTTCAAGGACAGGTTCGACAACGATTCTCAACGTCAGAATAGTTAAGCTGTAACACAACAGGGATAACAAGGTATAACACATAACACAACAGGTATAACAAGATATAACATAACACAACAGGTATAACATGATATAACACATAACACAACAGGTATAACATGATATAACACATAACACAACAGATACAACAAGATATAACACATAACACAAGAGATACAACAAGATATAACACATAACACAAGAGATACAACAAGATATAACACATAACACAAGAGATACAACAAAGCAACTGGGCAGGACATGAAAAATTAAACCTGACTTCCTCGTCGTCACCGCTAGGTAACTTCTGATAGGCAAGTACAAGGTCAAGAGAAGGGTAAGGGGGAAAAAATAGAAGGGCAGGGGAGAGCGAGGGGTATAATGGACAGCTAGGGATTGTAGGCATGTACAACAGAGGGGAAACTGGGCAGTGACGAGGGGAACTGTGAATTTCCCTTCAGGAATAAGACGAATATTCCACAGTCCATTACTTCTTTATGCATACTAACGCGCCCAGTGGTAATGTATTGACCCCTCCCCTTATAGTAAAATAATAATAATAATAATAATAATAATAATAATAATAATAATAATAATAATAATAATTTATTTTTAAAATATACAAAAGAACCATTACAGTGGTTACATGATAGGTACAGTGTTTGAATAGCTTATGAACCACAGTGCTTCCTCTGGCTTTTGTATTCGAACTACAGGAACACCAGCATACACCACCTACATCCCAACCAACACCACCTACACCCTAACCAACACCACCTACACCCCAACCAACACCACCTACACCCCCACCAACACCACCTACACCCCCACCAACACCACCTACACCCCAACCAACACCACCTACACCCCCACCAACACTACCTACACCCCCACCAACACCACCTACACCCCCACCAACACCACCTACACCCCAACCAACACCACCTACACCCCAACCAACACCACCTACACCCCAACCAACACCACCTACACCCCCACCAACACCACCTACACCCCAACCAACACCACCTACACCCCAACCAACACCACCTACACCCCTAACCAACACCACCTACACCCCAACCAACACCACCTACACCCTAACCAACACCACCTACACCTCAACCAACACCACCTACACCCCAACCAACACCACCTACACCCTAACCAACACCACCTACACCTCAACCAACACCACCTACACCCCAACCAACACCACCTACACCCCAACCAACACCACCTACACCCTAACCAACACCACCTACACCCCAACCAACACAACCTACACCCCAACCAACACCACCTACACCCTAACCAACACCACCTACACCCCAACCAACACCACCTACACCCTAACCAACACCACCTACACCCCAACCAACACCACCTACACCCCAACCAACACCACCTACACCCTAACCAACACCACCTACACCCCAACCAACACCACCTACACCCCAACCAACACCACCTACACCCCAACCAACACAACACACAAATCCCCAATGCACACAAAAGCTCTCGCTACCACCAGAGACAATGACCAGCAAGCAGCCGCCGCCCCAATGCCCAGACGAAGGTCTCTGTGGCTGGAGACCGCCATTATACGCGGCAGACTCCCGCGCCATCATGCGGGCGCCCTCAGCATCACCTGATCCTCCGCCAGGCGGCTCCACTTTCACCTGTTGCGGCTCAAGCATTTACGCGTCCTCTTGCGAAACCTGTAGATCTCTCTCCTCAATTATGACGGCTTATAACGTGCTTGATAAATACAAACTGAGCCGTTCTGATTGAGGAAAGATGCACAGGTTTCGTAACTCACATGTTTGGTGAAGATTTTTCGGATAGTCGATAGAGTAGATAAATCCAAATCATGAATTACAAAAGGGATATTATTCACCAGTAACAACAAACACCCTTTCCTCCTTCCCTATTCCGTACGAACATTAACACACGCACACCAGTTAAGAGGCGGGACCCAAGAGCCAAAGCTCAATCCCCCACAAGCACAACTAGGTGAGAACACCCTATCCCCCCCCTTCCTTTCCTTACCCTTTCCAAACACGAACACCCCCCCCTTCCATTCCCCTTTTCGAACAACCCCTCCCTCCCCTCCCTTCCCCCATTCCGAACACAGCTCCTCTCCCAAACAAAATTTCTGAGTGAGACAAATCGGTTCCGATATCTGTCCGCACGCTCCGCTGAGCTGACGACCAAGCCGGAGAATAATGTTATCAAGTAAAAACAGCTCCCGCGGCAAAGTTTGGAGAGGAAAACCAAAGATGGTGAGGCTGATAGTGTCGAGGGTGACGGTAATGGTGGCTATACTGATGAGCATTTTGTAATGGTGGCAGCGGTGGTGATGAGGATTGTGATGATGGTGACGATATATATATTTATGTGTGTGTGTATGTGTGAACAAGCTTGAATGGTTCCCAAGCCAACATTCAACCGAAAACTCCTCACCCCTGAAGGATTCGAACCCAGACAGCCATGCACCTTAGCGTATCCAGTACTTAACCCGCTAGACCACACTGACTATTCAAAAGGATTGGAAGTCATCAGACCCTTAACCCAACCCCTGACAGCATTCGGTAGTCAATTTTGGGGACAGATATTTCATTGAATCATCTTGCATGTCGAGGCTACGTGAGTAACACAAATGTGAGCTTGAGTTACTCACGTGGCCCCAACATGCGAGGGGCCACTCTGCGTGTGGCCTCGGCTTCTGCTTCATTGACAGAGAGGGTGATGAATATAGCTGCCAAGGTGGGTATACAAGTATAGCCCCATGTCAATTGTCTGCCATATCTCCATGGGCATAGTGTGAGTCCATCCAGTCGACCAACAAAGGCAGAAGAATTGAAATACATTAGATTGCAAGGCTCTCTCTCTGCTGGACACTGGGCAGAGGCAAGGCTCCTCTTAATGATGTCGTTGACTTCGTAAAGTCTCGAGTGCCAACCCCCTGATTTTCCGCAGTGCAGATCATGTGATCCATATTCATCTGCGTCTCTGCTACTTCAATCGGTAATACAGCGGTTATGGAAACTATTGAGTCATTAAGTACTCAACCACAGGTGTTCAAGATGCTTTTACAACCTCAAGTTATAATTTCATCACATTGAAATCATCGACTTGAGAATGGTCCAGGACGGACCGAAACGTCGTCGTCCCTTCACCTTCTAGTGTGTGGTCTGGTCAACATACTTTAGCCACGTTATTGTGACTCATCGCCTGCATTTCATCACATTCCTTACACAAGTAGATCCCAAGGAATCTGCAGGTCTCCCAGTTGTCAAAAGCATTCCTATTTTTATGATACTTTTGTTACGGTATAGCGCAAAGAATGAGAGACCGAGTTTTCTGTACAGAGATAAGAAGTCCACATTCCTGAGCTTTAGTCGCAAAAGCACAGAGTAGAACTTGTATTCTAAGCTCGGTGGCAACCTGTAAACAAACATTATCAGTGTCCGAAATTACTTTTCCTGGGCCAACCTCTGCTTGTAATATCGCCAGTTGCATGTGTCCGACAGCTCGCAGGAGTTATCCTGGGGTACAGAGTTTAGAGCAATAAACACAGAATCCCAGTGAATCCTGGCGGATTATTGGTCGTGTCCAACTCAACCTGTTAGGCAGGGAATTAGGGTCTCGAATCACATGAATATTTGTTTGATGTAGCGTTAGCACGAATATGTTTCCCCTTGATGGCGATGACATATATATATACATGAGAGAGAAGGGATCACAGATACAATAGGTAATTAAAGTAACTAATTTATTACACTTAATCCTACATACATGGTTAGGGGATTTCCCTTTTACTCTACAAACTGTCATACATAAAGCTAATTACACAGAAGGATCTGTACTTGTCCCAGAGAACACTATTTCAACCTCATGAAGGAAGGAATTATTAGGGGAAAGCGCCAAGTAATTACGATTAAAAAGCATTTGGAAGAATAAGGATTTGGGATGGGACGGGGGGAAGGAATGGTGCCCAACCACTTGGCCGGACGGGGATTGAACGCCGACCTGCAGGAAGCAAGACCGTCGCTCTACCGTCCTGCCCAAGTGGTTAGGCACTTCAACCTCGTGAGCTTTATTATCTAAATACTCCATCTATATGATACGCTTCACTACACACCTTCATAAAACTACTGCAGTTTCTGAGAACTTCCAGGATTTCCAATGTGATTCTCAGCTGGGCACACCAACCTTGAACTCAAGTGTCTCCAGCCTTACAGACACCACTACTAACCTACTAAAGGCGTTTGCGAGTGAATCGACCAGGGGTCCCACATGGGTCGCCACGAACGTGAGACAATTGTTGCATAAATTAGAACAGCATATACTCACGTCAATTCTCAACACCACACACACACACTCACTCACACTTAGTCTTTCATAACAATCATTTCGACGCGACTGCTTACAGACTTGGTCCCACAGAACAAGAGGACACTTCTGAAGAATGACAATGTTAAAAATAGAGTCTTATAATTACCTGAATGTGGTTTGGGGGATAAGAAAAATGTCAGGAAAAGGCAGCAGGAGGGGGAAGAGGAGGAATAGGAGGAAGAGCCAGATGAGAATACAAGAACAGAAATACATGTTGGCACTGTTGTACTAAATTGTGTTATGCCAACTTGCATAACTTGGCCTCAAGGCTGCCTCACAAGCGCTTGTGAAATGCTCATGGTCTAGAGAAGGGAGACAAAGAGAGACGAGAGGAACTGTTGTTGTTGTTATAGATTGAGCTACTCGGAACACGTTCCAAGTAGCACAGGTTATGGTGAGCTCGTAACATACCTGGCACAGGAGCGGGGCAAGTAGCACGGGCTATAATGAGCCCCTAGTGGACTTACCTGGCACAGGAGCGGTGCTCTACGAGAGGAACGAAGCATACCAAATATTTTCACCAACGAGACACACACACACAGCTAGACAAAGTAACGAGAGAGAGAGAGAGAGAGAGAGAGAGAGAGAGAGAGAGAGAGAGAGAGAGAGAGAGAGAGAGAGAGAGAGAGAGAGAGAGAGAGAGAGAGAGAGAGAGGGAGAGATGAAGTGGGAGCAGGAGGAGGAACGCTCCCTCTCATATGAGCAAGCTAATGACGCCAAACATAGGAACAAGGGTGTTTACATTCTTGTCCTGTTGACATATTGCCCACTAACTTTCGCCTTCTGAGTTCGTCCGCTCATCTGGCCGAAATTTGGCTTTAATTTCCCTCAACAAATGGCCGAACATTTAGCGCCCTTTTTTATACCTCGTTTTTTATTTAATTTTACTTAAAATTAACAAAAAATATATGTATAGCTGAACTATGTAGTTCAATGAAGCAATGTCTACTTTTATCCAGCTTTTTAAAGACCTTCTGCAACAGAATATGCAACAAGGAAAAGTTACTAATTTCTTTGTGTATTGTTGAATAATGGCTTGTACCAATGACTCATTGGTACAAGAGTAATATATATATATATATATATATATATATATATATATATATATATATATATATATATATATATATATATATATATATATATATATATATTTAATGATTCAATAGAGGAACTAAGTGACAGTCAATGACTCAAGAGAGGAACTAAGTGGCAGGAAACGAGCCAATGTAACAACAAAGTGTCCGAGCCGGAAAGTGTCCGAGCCGGAAAGTGTCCGAGCCGGAAAGTGTCCGAGCCGGACTCTCCAGCAGAGAGAGAGCAAGAGAAGGACTAAGTGCCAGGCTGTGATTCAAGTGCCAGTGGCAGTTTGGGTAACAACATTGATTAATGGCCCAGCTTAACTAGCTGGAGGGGGGGGGGGTGAGGGGAGGCTCCCAGCTGTGAACTAATGATACGGATTTCAAGCTGGGATTTAAAGGGATGGGGGAAGGGGAGACAATTTTTGTTTTTGGTTAGTTGGTACATGTGTTGATGTTTTTGAAATCGAATTTGTTTTCACACTTGTTTATTTATGAATAGATTATTTGTTGTTTTATTTGAGTGGACTAAACCCCGGCGTCTGTGTGTGTGTGTGTGTGTGTGTGTGTGTGTGTGTGTGTGTGTGTGTGTGTGTGTGTGTGTGTGTGTGTGTGTGTGTGTGTGTGTGTGTGTGTTTAGTATTTGTGCCTGCAGAATCGAGCTATTAGTTCTTGGACTCCTCCTTTGTATGTGTGTGTTTGTTTGCCAGTTTCGTATATTCATATTCGAGTGCTATACATGCGTGTTAGTGTAAAGGTGTACGCATTGTGCGCATACTCGCACTCCCACGCACCATAAATATACAGTAGAGTAACAACATTTACACTTTCGTAGTGGTCTATGTCCTTGGCTCACAACCCTGGGACCCGAGTTCAGTTCTCGGTCAGGAAGAGACGGTTGGGCACGTTTCATCTTATGCCTCTGTTCACCAAGCAGTAAAAAAGGAACTGGGGAGTTAGACAACTGTTGTGGATGGCATCCTGGGGGCAGGTCAGTAATTGGCCAATGTCCCCGAAACTGGGGAACCCACACTAGAGATTTATTATAGACCTCATCTCTCTCTTCTCGGTCTATCTTCTCTTATCGCAGTCGCCGCTTCCACCTTCAACCCCCACCTCCCCCAACTCCCTCTTCCATCCACTCTCTCTCCAATCTTCCTTGTATCTCCCCCTCTCACCACATTTTATCTCCTTGGGTATTAAAAATATTCTCGCCTTGGCCAAAGGTCTGGGAAGAGCTATTCCTGCATTCTTCATCTCCGCTCTCCTGGTAAATACAGGGCCTTTGATTTTTCTTAGGTATTATCGAATTTTCTCTTCTTGCACACATCAAACGCGTTGGGATGTGTGTGCTGGAGAGGCCCGGGGGTGAGGAGGCTCGCTTGGCTGGTGTAGAGAACCGCAGGCGTGAAATGGAAAGTTGGTGGCAGCGGTGGGATTGGTGGAAATTGGGCGAGTGTTGGGAAGCTGGTGGCAGCGGTGGAACACTTGGGTGAAGTGGTGGTCGTAAAGGAAAGCTGTTGGTAGTAGTGAGAGTGGTGGTACACGGAACAGCGTACACAGTGTTCTATTCTTATATATATTCTCCAACATTCTCGCCTAATTTTCACCGATCCCACCGCTGCCACCAACTTTCCATATATATATATATATATATATATATATATATATATATATATATATATATATATATATATATATATATATAGATATATATATATGTCGTACCTAGTAGCCAGAACGCACTTCTCAGCCTACTATGCAAGGCCCGATTTGCCTAATAAGCCAAGTTTTCATGAATTAATTGTTTTTCGACTACCTAACCTACCTAACCTAACCTAACCTAACTTTTTCGGCTACCTAACCTAACCTAAACTATAAAGATAGGTTAGGTTAGGTTAGGTAGGGTTGGTTAGGTTCGGTCATATATCTACGTTAATTTTAACTCCAATAAAAAAAAAATTGACTTCATACATAATGAAATGGGTAGCTTTATCATTTCATAAGAAAAAAAATAGAGAAAATATATTAATTCAGGAAAACTTGGCTTATTAGGCAAATCGGGCCTTGCATAGTAGGCTGAGAAGTGCGTTCTGGCTACTAGGTACGACATATATATATATATATATATATATATATATATATATATATATATATATATATATATATATATATATATATATATATATATTTTTTTTTTTTTTACATGAGAGAGAGAGAGAGAGAGAGAGAGAGAGAGAGAGAGAGAGAGAGAGAGAGAGAGAGAGAGAGAGAGAGAGAGAAGAGAGA